GTCAGGGATTCGAAGGGCGAGCTGACGCCGCGGGTTGGTGGTGGGGGGAGTTGTTGTTTCTTCGGGGGCTGGGGGTGTGGTGGTTGGGGCCCGGGGCGGCGGGGAGGGTGGTGGTTATGACTTGTTGGGCCCTGGGTGGGAGGGGGGAGGTTAGAGATGTGGTGGGTTTATAAGAGGGTGGGAGGTATGGGAGGCATGGGAGGTGACGTACCGAGGCCAGGGCGCCAAAGGCGACGAGGATGGTGGCGTAGTGCATGGTGATGGGGGTAGTTTTAAGTTTGGGAGTTTGGTTTGAAGTTTGGTGAGTGTCTCTGGTGGGATGGGGGATGGGCGTGGCTAGTACTGAAACAGTGGGTGAGCGGCCAAGCTTAGGGAAGAATTGGCTTTAGGTGTGTTCGATGGATGGGAGTAGCGAAGAACGAGGAACGGACGGCCACGAGAGAATGGGCCTTATAATTTATCTCACTTTTCTGGCAGGCGCACGGTACGCTACGCACGCTAGATCGGCACGAGCTAGCAAACTCGACCAGAACAGCCACAGCGAGGAATGCGGGCGACCGGGCAACATCAATGGAAGGGGCTTATCTATGAGCGACACTGTCTTGCAGCTTGCTGCTGCGCGTACCCGCCACAGTGCGCAGGGGGGCAGGATTCACAGCTCCGAGTGGATTGATCATTAGGTAGTTGGATATCCAACGGCCAGCTTCGTCGAGTCGTGTAATGGCATCATTGCGTGGAGCAGCCCTCCGCTTCAGAGCCCCTCGCCGGCGAAAACGGCTTCCTCTGTCTGGAGCTCTGGAGCTTGAACTGTGGCGAACGATAGGCATCTGGCCGCTGTGGCAATCGTGATGACTTGTGTATCATGAGTAGCTGCCGCGGCTCCGGTGGTGGAACCGCATACCGCATGCCAACTGCCGCCAGCCACCTCTACGCAAAACACACGACCTTCCTTTGAGTTATCCAGATTGCCGTTGCCTCGAAAAGAATTGAAGAACACCTTTTCTACACAGAACAACGGATATCTTCAGTTCTGGAAGCACCCAGCACCTGGAGGTATGTGACCCTCCTTGTCACGCCACTGACAGTCGACACCGAGTCCTTATCTCGATCCGACCAGGATGTCATCATCCATTGCTATGTAGCTCGCGGGGTTGTGTGGGCCTCCCTTCGCATGATGGCGTCACTATTCACTGGCTCATAGGACGAATTTGGCGGTCGCACCGTCTCCCATCTGCCTGCTGCGTGTAACCGATGACACAGAACCTGGGTTAGCACTGATCGGGGCGCAGTCCGATCGACAAAGCCTTAGACTTCTCGGTACGGCGAAATGCCCTTCTTGAGCTCCGTGACAATATCGGCCGCGTACTCTGCGCTGCTGGTGACAAAGTCGTACCTCTTACTCTCGGTCGACTTGTAAACAACCAGCTAGTTTTCCTGTCAGTGGGTGGCCGAGATTCCCAACCGCTTGTTTTCACGTACCTTGAAGTTCGTCGGGTGTTTGCGTGAGACCTTGCAGCCCACCACATTGCTGAAGTGGACAGTAGTTGACTTCCCGTCCGCATCGGCCATCTTGCCGCTGGACGCAGGCATGATATGGACATACTCGCCATCAATGGCAAGCAGCTTCTCCGACAACAGTCGCATCGGCTGCTTCCGCCAAACCGTATACTTCTTGTAATTAGCGGCGACCCCGAGCTCCTCCTGCTTCGCCACCTCTTTGGCCAACGGGTGCGTCCCCAGGAGCTTTGACTTCTTCCCCTTGGTCCAGCTGGCGTTTTCGGTGAATAAATGTGGCCTTGGCGAAGAGCTGCTCAAAGACCCCGCCATCAGAGGCCCATCGGTGGCAAAGCGGCGCCGGTAGAGATCCAAGTCAGTGACATTCCCGAGTG